GTCGGATCAAGTGGAATAAACAATGATTCATACGTCTTCGAAAGCAACCTTTAAAAAGTTACCACGAGAAAGTTGATAATTTTCAACAGAATAGTAAACGTATTGGAGGCATGGATGTTCCCCTGCTACTTATTGGCGACTCAGCCTTTCGCTTATCGTGCTATGATGAAACCGTTTCCATATTCACCGAATCACCCAGTTGTGGAAAAAACGTTTACCACCAGGTTATCCCGATGTCGCCGCGTAATAAAAAACGCGTTTGGTAAACTTTAAGCTCGATTTCGTAAAATAGGGCGAGGTTTACAAGTAGCGCCAAAAAGGTTAATATTATTATCCATGCACGTTGTATTTTGCATAGCTTTCTAAAAATGGAAAACGATGCCATGCCTTCTATCACAAATACCTTTCTAATACTCCTTATAAACCAATCCAAAATGCAGCACACTAATTCTGACTTTTAACGCAACGCAGCAGCTTTACTAAAAGTGGAAAGTTGGGTTTTCTATCGTTCGCCGAACTAAAAAATTTTTTGTTTGAAGTGATAATAAAATAGTTTCGCTTCTCATTTTATTCTTATTAACAACTAGTAGTTTTTTTCAACATGGAAAGTGAGGCGTGAGGTACGTATTTTATTTTACGATTTTTGTTAATAATAAAGTTGTTTGTAAAATGGGTGTAATACCTATTTTATGAATTGCCTTTTTTATTGAAAAAATTTAGAAATTTTTATATTAGTTAGAGTTATAAAAAAAGTTCCAACGAGTACAGCAATTTCTCTTTAACAGTTCGAAAATCCAACAAATTGCCAATGTAAAAATATCGCGAAGTCGTCCCCTCTTTTCCGCCTTCTTTAAATAGAGCATCTTTTTCTTAAGTCGTTTAAACCATAAGTATTTGACAGATTTCAATAAAATTTGGTATCCAGGGGTTTTCGTTGTCAAAGATTTCGAAATTTATATAAAATTTTCAAAATTAAAATGGCGGATACAATATAGCGGAAGATATCTTAAAACATGTACAGGTTGGTATGAAGTTGGTATCCAGAGATTTTCGTCGTCACTGGTTTCGGAATTGATATAAAATTCTCGAAATTCAAAATGGCGGACCACTTTTTTTTAATTATAGTCTGTTATGAAACTTGGTATTCAGAGATCCTGGTTATCTTTGTTTACGAAATTGAAATTACATTTTCTAAATTCAAAATGGATTCAAAGGGTGCTAAAGTTAAGCATTGCATTAAAAGTTAAATGCCTATTGTTTGGAACGCTATATTTGATCCGCCATTTTGAATTTTTAAAAATATATTATCAACTTCGAAATCAGTGACGAAAATCTCTGGGTACCAAGCTTCATAACAATGTATACATTTTTGAGGAAATAGTCCGCCATATTGGATCCGCCATTTTGATTTTTTAAAACTAAATATAAATTTCGAGATCAGTGACGACGAAAAGCTCTGGATACCAAGCTTCATAACAATCTATACATTTTTTAATAAATCGTCCGCCATATTGGATCCGCCGTTTTGAATTTTGAAAATTTAGTTTAATATTCGAATTCAGTGACGACGAAAATCCCTAATTATCAAATTTCATTGAAACTGACTGGCTGTCTGTAGCGATTGCAGATTTTCAACATCGAGCTAGGGACGGTCCAACACAAATAAGTTTCGTTTCGAAGGAAAAGTTCTTCCCTCGAATCAACTTGTTGAAGTGCCATACTGATATCCCTAAATTGGCGCCTCAGGCACAATGGAATTTTCAAAAATCGTCATGCCCCTA